GCGGGGGCGCTGGGTTTGGGGGAAAGGCTACCCCATCGTGTACCCCATGAAAAAAATTATTCATTAGAATATATGAAAAATTATCTGACCTGGAAAACTATGGTCTCTTTTCATTTTTCTTTCAGGAAAAAAAGAAACTTTTTTTATGACGAGTCTGACTATATTGACCAAAAGGCATGATCCCTAAAAACTGATAACCAATCAACTAGTATCGTAGAAGTGGTAAACCAATGAACTGGGTACTTGTCAAAATTCACCACTGGGGGGGGTGCTGATGGTGAAAGTTCTGGCATCATAGAAGTTGCCTGCTCCTTTATACCTCACGCATCACTCTGTCTCTTTCTACCTGACTACCTCTGTTCTTGTTCCGTTTTAATTCTATCCATTTACATTCTCATTTGTGAGTAAAAAATAGTTAATATATATGAAAAACTTACTTCTCTCTCAAACTCTTTTGGAACAGGTTCAACACGGTTGTCCTCTGAATCACAAACACTGCTAAGTGGATTTCTTGCTGTTATATCGGTTAATATGGTTATTGCATTCTACATATGTATGGCAATGAAGGAGCCTTTACATAAACATGAGCCAGATCCTGCCTTTCTTGCCAAAGCCAAAGCCAGTGTTAGCCAATCTGCACCAGGTCAAACTGAAGATTCTTCACAAGGTCGTGAGAAAAAAGAGTAGGAGCTCAGGAAGTAAGTGACCGGCTTTTCCCTTACAAAGTCCTTGTCTAATGCAGCTGCCAAACCATGTGAACTGGACCCCAAGAATTGGGCTATTTTACCCTGCTTGATCCACATTGGCTCATTTTCGAAATTTGCCAAATATTGTATTTGAAGAAATTAGTTAATTTTGACAAAGCATTTGCTAAATTGGTTTGTGATCAGTATGGTATTTAGGGAATTCGAAGTGCATCATTCATGGACTATACCAACTTGATTATCACTGCAATGAGTTTATACGTTTCTATCAAATTATCAAATATTCTCTTGTACTGCCAGGATTAAGAACAAATTAAAAAAAAAGGATAAAAATTGTATACACAGATCGACTTTAATTCTGGATGAAGATGCCCAAATTGAGCGGTGGAACTCTCTTCATCCAATTTACTGGGGGGCAACCCCCCCGGAGTGAACAAGGGTACCCTGAAGCCCTTTTACCATAAGACCCTGTTCGTTTTTCGGTAAGTTATTTATTCGGGTAAATGCAAAATCCCATTGACCAATGCAAAATCCACATTAATCTGAAAAAAGAACATGGTATTCTTGGTCAATGGAAACCAAAATCCCATTGACCAACTTCCCCCCTCTCAAAATCTAAAAAAGAACGCCCCCTTAGTCCTAGAAACAACCACAGTTATGCTTGTTAGTTGGTTTAATTCAGCTCATTCATCTATAGAAGCTATTTTGGTATTCAGTAATGTTTGGAGTTTGGACATTAGGTTGGAATCTTTGGCTCGAGTTTTGTTTATGTGGATGTGGTGGGGCACAACACTAAAATCTTGTGATTACTGATGAGTTGGTGCATTATCCTTCCATGTTTTGGCGTCATACTTTACACTCTACATGTAAACTGCTAGTTTTTTTTTTTCAGGTTTACATCCATAATGTGATCCAGTAGAGATTCATCAGAATACAAATAAAACTGAATAGGGTAGTCAAGATTTGCACCGCAACCAAATGCAGCCAAGGCTGTTAAACCTTTAACACAAGATGACATATCATGAACCAACTAGTAAAGGCAGCTGCATGTACATTATACACACCCTCGAAAAGGAGAGAAAAATGAAGAAAATCAAGTCAAAGTAAACGCTCTCCGTCCCATCCCAAATCTGAGGCCCTACGGCCGAAAAAGCTTAACATGCACAGAAGCTCTCATTGATTGTCCTTGTCCGAGCACCTTAGGGACAAAGCAAAGGGCACTCCAACTGGATTCCTGTAACTCAAGAAACCATTCACTTTAGCTAAATTAGCCCTTCCAAACGTGACAGATGAACTGCAGCTTTTTGTAGTGTCCGTCCCATTCAATTCAATTTCAATGGTTCCTTACTTCCTTTCATTGATCATTTGGTTGGACACCAAAACTTATTTTCATTTGCTCTAATGCAGAGAGAAGTCATGCAGAATAATGTAAACCCCCTTTAGTGGGCAACGCCTGCAAGGGTTTGAGATTTGGATCCTAACCACTAAGCAGGCGCCGCACCTACCCTGGGATGGATCTTGGCCATTTTGTTATTGGGAAATAAGAAAAAGAAAAGGAGATGAACCTTCCCATTTAAATCTTGAGATATAGAGAATTGAAGATTTATGTGTGTGTGTGTGTGAGAGAGAGATGCACCAAGCAACTAGGGCTGCAAGTTGGGCCGAGTTAGGTCAGGTTGAGGCCAACCCTAGCCCAACTCTAACCATAAACCTAACTAAATTCCTTCAACCCTAATCCAATCCAACCCAATCCGAAGTCAATTTAGGGTTGGTTGGCCCAACCCAAGCTTCTTCCCATCCCTTAAAACCTCATAAAATTTCTCGATTTTAGATCTTAACTCAACTTTCACTACATATATTAATCCTATGTTTCATTAGTCTTTGTTTGTTGATGTTTTTTTTTTTTCTGTTCTTTTGGTACAAAATTCAGAAAAAAACAAGTATTAGAAATGACTATAGTTTATTATGAGTTGTGACTTGCGATAGATCTTTTATGGGTGGCAAACAACAGAGAGGAGATGAAGAATAAATTTTCAAAAAAACATAAAATAATGTTATTAAGGTTTTAATCTTTCTGATTAGGATTAAGTGAAGTGATTATCTTAAAAGAAATACATGATACTATGTGGTGAGGGCTATATAAATATCATGCATCTAAACCAATCAATGTATGCTATATATTACATATAACATATATTTATATATGACATGTACTATAAAGTTGGGATTGGGTTGGGTTGGGTTGGGTCGGGTTGCCTAAGGGGTCAACCCTAATTCAGTACGAACTAAAGTTGGGTTCATGAATTTCAACTCTAACCTTAACCTGACCCAACCCAACTTTTTCGGATTGGGTTTGGGCCAACCCGGCCCAAGTTGCAGCCTTACAAGCAACAAGTGGATTTCTATTTCAGTCTTTAGATTAGTATACTTATTGATCAGGCAACTTAAAAGCTCACTGGGTCATGTTCTTTATTTATTTATTTATTTTTCTATCTTAATCGTCTAATTATCGTTCAGTTCCAGATAATAAAACTTGGAGATTAAAGCCTCTATCCAATATACATTTTTGGCTTAATATTATAGATTAGATATATTAGATTATCATTCAAAGAACCATCAAATAATTGTGAGTTCAACTGTTCAATCAAAACTGATTTAAAGCCTCAAGCTCACAGCAGCTTAAATCTATAGGGTTCTAGCTAGGCATGAACAAACCCTAGTCTCCACCATACCATACCAAACTAAAAGCTCCAAAGGAAACCAAATGGATAGGGATTCCTTTGTAAACAGAAAGCTTGACCTTACGTTTGCGTGTAGCCCACTTGTGACTTTGTGAGCATTTATATACCAATCCACGCCGAGATAATTGACTGGAATGTGGAACTTTATGAAGGAATTTTGACGTTACGGCCTAGAAGACACAAGAACTCATGTGGCGGCCCACGGCCCACCAGCTCAACTGGTACGTACTGAAAAGAATCCCACACCAGCTACAACCTCAGCCATGGAAAATGAGTGATTTTTCAAAGTTGAAGTTAGATCATCACTTGGGCCTGGTACACATATTGTTGCAATTTATAATGCTTTGGCTTCGTTTGTTTGGTTAAAAATTCCGAACCAGATGCAAATTTTGCACTGGGTTCAGCTTTGCATTCATTTGTTTGTGATTATGATTTCACTTCTGTCTGTTGCAAAATTTGTTCTTTACATCTCATTTGTACTCATTGGTTGTGCAACACTTTGCATCTAAAATATTAATGCAAAATTTTCCATCACTTTCCTCCTACCTAAATTCTCTATCATATAAAGTGGGGATCACATCGTTTTGTCTCTTACCTTACTCCTCCCAAACAAATAGCCTTCCTAACTTCCTTCCTGCCCTTATTCTAAAGAGGGGACCACATCATTTTATTTCTCACAAACCAAAATTTTGAAATTTCCCACATTTACATAATGTAAATGAAATTCGTATTGCAGTTTATTTTGACTTTTCAAAATGTGTAGACTAGTGCACAAAGCTTGGTCCATTTGAAATGACATTTTATATATGAATCCGTACTGTCTTTATCGTGAGATATAGGAAATTTCTATGAACATCCCTTTTTCAATTTCAATATAGAATTACATGTGAAACTCTCTGTTACATTAGGAATTTCGATAAGACAAAAACAGGTATGTAAGATAGACTACATCCTTAGGCCCATTTAGCTAAGACAGACATACAACCAGCCCCTAGGAGAAGTGAAGCATTGGCCAATATTTGAAGCTTTCCATTGCTTTGCATCCTAGGGTTCATGAAATCTGCTGCAAGCAGATCAACAAGCGCCATGTAAATCAGGATCCCAGCTGCGGCAGAGTCAAAAATCCCTTCAACAATGAGAGCAGTGGGGCTGTTCTCGTTATAAACATTTGTTATTCCCATACCAATTGCAATCCCAACTGGGGTAGTGAGGGAGAAAAAAAGTATCATAATCGCAGTGGCTCGGTTCTTAAATTTTGCCTGTATCATTTCAGCCATGGAACAAGAAAATTTTTGTCAGTGTATATATGCCCCAGATGTTAGCTTTGAGCATTGAATTCATTAATTCAAAGCCTGACCCACCCCCAAATGCTAATTGAAAGAAAATTTAAGTTTATCAAAGGCAAACTTTTAATATATTTATTAAGAGTACAAATAGCCTGTTTGTACAAAAAATAACAAACAGGGAGTAGGAGGTGCTCGAGTCAAAACGAAGAAACCAATATTTCAGAAATAAAATAGATCCAGGAATCAATTTATTAAAATTAATTTGTAACAGAGACACCCCAAGAGGGAGAAAGCCACTGAATAGGTCCTAGATGTTGAAGTGAAGCATAAGATGATGCTCCGAGGATTTATTTAATACTCAAACTGATGCATCCACCAAGGGAAAGATAACTCTGAAGTAATCAACTTCCATTAATTTGATACCTGAGTAATGCATCCACCAAGCCCCATGCCCTCAAAGAACTGATGGAAAGTCAGAGCTGCAACCAAAGGCCTTATTGTGGAAGGGTCTTCCGAAGTCCCCACGGAAATCCCAATGATCACAGAGTGTACCACAATTCCCAACTCCAAAACCTATTCATAACCAAGAAAATGTTACAAAAAGTAAGTTGACAGAGAGAAAATGAAACAGAGGATCATCTCAACTCAAACTAAAGGAAGCTTTTCTTTTTCTTGTTTACTTTCAGCAGAAAGAGTGAAGAAGAAAAGAATATGATCAAACTGATTAATCAAAACTCAAGCTTACCTGTGAGATGACTCGATGTCTCAGAAGCTCTGAGGAGGTAGAATCAGAGCCATGGGCATGACCATATGTGGCATGGGTATGGACATGGACGTGACTCACTTGCTCATCTGTCCTTTCTTCATCTCCATTCATCAGCTGAGACTTGTTAAAGTGAGACCTGTTATAGTAACTGGTGGCTGTAGTGTCTATCATCAATGTTCCGATTGCAGACATCATTGCAACAAAACCAGTGAACGGAAATTTCTCCCACGCCTTGCCTTTAAGGCACGGCGACGTTAACTGCTCAAAGGCATCAGGAAGTATATGAATAAACCCAGTAGCCAGAATAACTCCCGCTGCAAACGCCTTGATGATAAAGAAGATATTTTTCTCTGGATGCAATGCTGGAATCGTTTTCCCCAGGACCGGAATACACACTCCGATTGCACTAGCAGTCAGGATGGATGCAATTGCTGCAATTTTGTACTTGAGGGCTTTACTTTTGTCATGTCCGGTGTTTTCTTCAGGGTCGCATGTACACTCACCGGAGGCTACGATGGGGGCGAGGAATAGTAGCAGCAGGGTGAAGACTGAGAAGAACTGGGATGAAAAGGGTTTGAGCTTATTCATGGAGGTGAGATGATAAAAGAGAGAAGAGAAGACAAGAGAATGAAAATGCTGTGTGGCACGAAGTAACTACTGACCATTGGTTATATACTTATATATCTATCTATATATATAGTAAAACAAGTAGGTATAGAAATTTTCTCTTCTTTTTGATTTTTTGATTTTTTCAATTTCATGTTATTTTTTAAACAACGACATGCATTTTTTTCAAAATTATCTCTAATTTCTATTTATTTTTAAAATTATCTCTAACTCTTAATTATCCTCTCTCTTACTTTTTATCTATATCTATATAAAGATTTGGATTAAAGAATTTAACAATTATTTAAATATTTTAACAAAATTATATAATAACTTTAAAATATTTATTAAAAATACAAAAAATAATTTTATATTTTTAGAAAATATATCACGAAATTATGTAATAACAATTTAAATTATGTCTTTCCGAATTATTAATTTAAATGTTTTTCAAATATTTAATAATATGTAATAGCTTTAAATAAATAAAATTCAAATAACAAAAAAATTCAGTAAAATGTTGATTATTGGATAGATTTTAGTAAATTAATAAAACTATAAGAGATATTTTAATAAATAATCATTTCTATTATTTGACTTTTGCTTAATAAGTCAAGAGTCTCTGCTAGTTATATATATATATATATATATATATATATAAAGAGAGAGAGATTAGAATGTAGAGTTCAAGGTGTGAAAGAAACAAATGTCTTATTGGCTACCAAAGATGGCTATTGCTTTTTTTTTTTTTTTTGAAGGCTACTTGCATTAAACACACGCAGCTGTTATATCTCTGCATATGTTGTCATCTAGAGTTCCGGGCCTTCTGGCAACCATTCAAAAATGGTCATGTGGCATGAGAACTGGTTACTTACAGAAACATTCTCACATTTTTACTCTTTTTTTTTTAAGGTTGTATTTGGATCGAAGGAAAATCTACTTTTTCCTTCAAACCAAACAAAACATAGCCTAAATGTTTGACGTTGATTGGTTTAAATCGCATGACTTCTTTTTAGAGTCAACTTCCCAATGTCGACATTCTCTAAGTCTTTTTCTCGGTCTACTCTTGTTTGTTTTTATTCATTCATTTATTGATACGCGGGTGTTATATTTTCTTGACGTGTGGACCTTATCTTTTCAGATTAATCGTTCCCATCTTGTTCCTTTCGTACCGTTTTCTTTGAATTATAAATATGCATACAATTACAAACAACTCCCTGAATTCAGCGAGAGAGAGCAGTGTCTATCTTTTCAGATGAATAGTTACTTTTAGGGATTTTAACTGTTCAGTTCATTCCTAAAAATCTTATAAGATTTGTGAGGGGGAGTATAGTTTACTTATCCCTTACTTTTATACCGTTAATGATAATAATGAGAGTAATAATATATCTAAGTTTTTATAAAATTTATACATTTTTTATTTTTTAATTATTTAATTATACTAACATGAATTAATCTATTTGACTGGGGTGGTTGAATCACTTACTTGCCACATGGACAGAAGATGGTTTTATTTTTGGGTCATTTTTTAAGTATGGGTTTAAAAGTATTGAATGTAGATCTAATTAATTAATAAAATTTATTTATGAGAAAATACTTTAATAGAGAGGAAAGATGATTTAATATCTTATATGGCAAACTGGAAATGATATTGCTTTTAAAAATATTCAAAGAAATGTTCATTGGGTTCTAAGAAAAATTAATGGAGTAATGAATATATGCAATCCTAATATAAATGTCAATGGTGACATAATTGTGTATGACATATTAAACCTTCCACCCTTGCTACATTATAGTGTTTTTATAAAGTGGAATCGAAATGGTACTTGAAATGAGTTCCTGAGTTTATGGGCGTGCTTCTAGTTGATCCTTGATCCTTCAATGTCAAGGAAAATTTAGAACTGCTAATGGGGTGAGTGGAGTGGGGCAAGTTTGATGCTTAAGACTTAAAGCTTGGAGATTTCTTATGACAAAACACAAATGAGAACCTTATAGAGGTTGATTAGGTCCCTTTTATAGATGTAATAGGGAATAAAAGGTCATATACTCATCCAATCACAAGGCTTGGGTTTCAAGAGAGTATTTTCATGAAAAAGGTAAGAGTTTTTCAAGTGGAGAGGGTTTATAGTCAACTTTCTTTAAAGATGTAACATTTTCCCTCAATTTGGGGTTGATTTTAAGGGGTTGTGTGCATCTAATGAGAGTCTAGGGCATGCTTGACATAACATAGTCAAATTTATGGTTCCCAATGGCAAAAAATATAAATTTTAGTCAATCATAAATGATATTTGGGGGTTTTTGATTTTTTAAGTCCAGTTGGCTCAATTTTTTTGATCAAGGTATTTTAATAGGTCAAATATAGGGATAACGTCAGCCCCACCCTCTTTAAATCTCAGGTTGGGATAGATGAAGGTGTAGTTTAATTTATCACATTGAAATAGAATCTTTCTAGTTTAGTGGTAAAACAAGTGAGTTAGGTTGTTAAGTTTGACATAGTGGTTTTTTTTTTTTTTTTGGTCTTTGAACATGATGGTGAGGTCTAATTGGTCATATGAGATTTTGATGATGGAGATCTACAATTAATAAGCTTTAATCATTGAGATTTGTTGAAATAAAATCTTTACTTGATAGTGAATCAAATGAGAAAATCTTGGGATGAAATTTGGTGGGTGGGCATTTTTTACTATCTTGAATCTTGAATCTGATGAAAGAGATAGATATTTAATCAAAAATGTAGATTGAAATACTTGGTTAAGATTAAGGTTTTAGCTTATGGATTATCAATTAATGAGAAGGCTTGCAATAGAACTTTGCTTTTTTTTAGGGGTGCGGGAGGGGGAGAAAATTATGAAATTTAAGACTAAAATTGGACAGCTGGGTTATTTTGAAAATTTTGGAGTTAATGAGAGGGGTTTGGTCGCTTGGGTTATAATTTCTTTTGTTATTTAATCATAAACATCAAATTAGAATCTTTGTTGATTGGGTGGTTAAACAAAGAAAAATTAAGTTGAAATTTGGTTTGTATAGTGATTGTGCACGATCTGTAAGCTCCTAGCTGGAAGATGACCTGGACCTTAGTCGTGTAGCGAGCTGGACTAAGCTGCAAGACAGAGGATCAAAGAACTCGGGGTAGCTAACCCAGCGAGGTCACTCCGATGCTTAAGTCAGTTCTCGTTGTGCGAGCTAAAAGTTTGTATGCTAGTAAGCTAGTGAGCAAATAATCGCGCATAGTCGAGTCTTGGGGGTTGGTGGCCTTATATAGTTGGGATGTCGTAGGCCTCTTGAAATGTCCTCAGAATCTTCAGCCCATGATGTTGGGATCCGTTCCGCTTTGGTAGGAGAGTAATGCATCAATTAATGAGATTTATCGTTTCCCTCCGATTCGAGCGAGGAGAAGATAAGGCCTACGGTTACGCGACGTGATCCCAAGTAGTTCAGAGTCCGCTGAGAAGCTTCTAGAATCGATTACGTGGCACCTCGGTGTATGCGGGTACCAAAGTGATTTTGGCTCCAAGGTGACCGAGCACCCGAGCTCCCTGATCTGTCGACATGGCACTTTACGCTGAGTTGTCATCCTGGTCGCAGGTCGCGCCCACGTGTCCTTCACTTACTAGGTCGGGCCATATCACCCCTCATCAATTGCCCTCCACACCCTGTGCCGGGGGTCCTGACCCAGTGCGGGGAGTTCATGACGAACGTAGGTGAATTTGGCACGATTTCCAGATGGTACGGAGGGTGACTCTTTGGTCGGACCTGTGCGGTTGCATGGCTCAACCAGGAAATGACCCAGATCGCGTACCGGGTACGCGTAGACGTCACGCCCTTTATAAACTCTGTGGACGTCAAAATGCGCACTCAATTGGTTTCGACCTTGGGTGGCGTGCAGCTGATTTTAATGGGAGTCGTTGGATCATGCAGATCTCAACCGTTGAACCCCGGTTGCGGTGGCTATAAATAGGGGCCAAAGGGGCCCATTTTTCTCATCGTAAACTGTGTGCTCGAGTTTGTTGAGGTCGCGCTCAAGTCTCCCAAACCGGTGTTAATTGTTCTTGCGTTTGGGGTCGTCTCGCTTCCTTCGATCTTCTTGGTGTGTTCGTCTTTCTCTGCTTTTGTTTCCTGATGTCTATTTTTTTTCTCTAGTTCGGTATGTCTAGCTTTAGTGTAGAAAGCCTTCTTGATGGGAAGAGTCCACCGAGGCCGAGGTGGGCACCTCAGCCTATGTTGAGGAGTTCGGTCTTGCCGGGGCAAATGCTTTGGTTGAGGGTCCGAACTTTACTTCGGATAGGGCGGACGCGTAGCCGGAAGCCAGATCATTTCGACCCTTCCACTGTGATGCTGAACGACTGCAGTCTTTAGCTTCCTACTATTGGTTCCCCGATAACCATGTGTATAGCATCCCCTTGGGTCAATACCCCTAGGATCACGAACCAGATGAGATCGCTGTTTACGAGGAGCAGCTCATAGCAGGACTCCATTTTCCAGTTCACCCTTTTATTGTTGACGTCCTTCAATTTTTCAATGTTACCATAGGCCATCTTCACCCAAACTCCATTCGGTCCATCGTCGGCATCATCTCTCTGTTCCACGTGTACAATAAGCCCTTAACTCTTGAGGTGTTTAACTCGCTGTGTGCCATTAAGAAGAACTCGGCATGCGTCTTTAAAGATGAGAAGCGCAGCTATTATATTTATCCCCGACTTGGGTACAAAGTCTTGCATGGCTTCCCCAATAAAGTATCGGCCTGGAAAAAGTGGTACTTCATAGCCGGGGCGGGGGTGGCCGTTCTCGACGAAGTGGAGGACGATCATTACTGACCCCGGAGTCCAACTAAATAGTGAAACTTCGGCGATGATCGGATCTTGGGTCGATCTCAACTTGCAACTGAAGGATTTCTTGTCCGAAGAGAAGCTTGTAAAAGTCGGGTTGAGTCCTCCGAGTAGGTCGTCACCTCGGTACACACACATATTTTCTTCTTTGTAGTTCGTCTTTAAATTTGCGGCTAACTTGTTCGTTACCTGTTGTAGGAGTCATGGTTGACATCCTTGCTATGGAGC